AGTTGACTGTCCGTGGAGTCGTTGTAGGAGGACGACCACTGCAGCCCTGATCAGTGCTGCTGTGGCTCCTTCTGGACCTCCTGGTTCCTGCTCACACTGGGCTGCACTGGGTTCTAGCTGCTCACTGATCTTCTGGATCCTTCTCCATCTTTGTCCAGTCTCTCAGTCAGATGTTCCTCTTCCTCTGTTCAGTTCTTTTCCATATCAGGTCATTTTAGCGACAATTTTGAGTCATTTAAATAAAATCTGAGTCACTCTGGACTATTTTTACTTGTTAGTTACTCGTTACTGAGGATAAGTTCAGAGTCATTCTGAGTAAATCGTGAGTCATTTGGGACCAATTTTAGTCATTTTGGACACATTTTGAGTCATTTTGAGCATCAGATGTTTCTGTTCAGGTCTTCTCCACGTGGAGCCATGATGCAGACAAAGACACAGTCCAGAGGTCCAGAACTGAGAAGGTTCTGCTGTTCTCAGCTCATTTTAGAACCATGTTCATGCAGTTAGACTGATTGGAAACCACAGCTGGAATCAAAGCTTTGAGTTTCTACTTTAGGGCCTCATTTTTCCAGTATTGTCTATTTTATTTTTTTTATTTTTTGATAGTTCATCAGAGGAAATATTCTGATTTCAGAAATATCAGCTATGCACAGGACTGGACTCACTGCTGCTGCTTGAGTTGCATGAAACTCACATTTAGTTTGTTTGTTTGTTTCCAGGTAAAACTTTCCAGATCTGTGGGAGCATCTAGTTTAACGTTCTGATTCTTTCTTGTAGTTTCTTGTCGAAGCTGGAGGAGCGAGTGGAGTCGGACATCATGTCCTTCACCGTCTGTGACATCATCGCTCGCCACTGCCAGCGCTTCCGGATGGTTTACGTTCCCTACCTCACCAACCAGTCGTACCAGGACGCCACCTACCAGCGGCTCATGTAAGAGTCCAGCTGTTGGTTTTACAACGAGTTCAGCTGCTGTCTGTGTTGTTTTTTTCCTCCTCTAAGTTCTTCTTTTCTCTCCAGGAATGAGAATCAGGACTTCAAGCAGATCGTGGCCAAACTTGAGAGGAGTCCCGTTTGTCAGAGGCTTCCTCTCCGATCCTTCCTGGTCCTTCCCTTCCAGAGAATCACCAGAATCAAGCTGCTGGTGCAGGTGAGCACGACGCCTCTGAGACGCCAAAGGTTCATGTTGGAACCTGCAGCTTTTATCTGACCCATCGTGTTTCTGTGCAGAACATCGTGAAGAGGACGACTCCCGGCACGGCCGAGGCCCTGCAGGCCATCAAGGCTCTGAAGCTCCTGGAGAAGGTAACGACGGCAGAAACAGCTTCTGGCTTTGCATTCACGCAGGAGAGAAACATCTGAAGAATCGGTCTCAATAACACATCTCTGTTTGATCTTCTTGTCCAGCTGATCCAGGAGAGCAACGACAGCATCTCTCAGATGAAGAGCATCGAGTCTCTGGTGTCCCTCAGCGCTAAAGTGGACTTTGAGTGCAGAGTAAGTTAAACCGGACTTTAATTAAACACAAAGAAATCCTACATTTATATCCGACATCATGACCTCCATCACAGTCACCTGTATTGAATATTAGTGTAAGAATCTCACATTTCATACGTCTGTGGAAGATCATTAGAACATTTATTGTGTGTTTAATATTGGAAATATATTTTTCATTTAAAAACTTCAACACAAGTTTTTTGTTTTAAAACTAAACACAGTTTCAGAATTACAAAAAGAAAAATACAGTCAATCTAATGAAACTTTTCTTTTATCGTTGTTTTTGTTTGAAAGCTAAAAATTGAATTTGTGTCCTTTTAAAAAAAAAAAGAGAAAACACATTTGTTGTTTTAGTGCTGATTTCAAAAAATAGAAAACCAAACTCAAGAAATGCTCTGTTTTTGTTTTGCAAACTCCTTTTCTTCACTTCACTTTTGTTAAAAGGCCAAAACAACCAGTTAGTTTTGTGCTTTTTAAGCTTGGTTTTCTAAAATTCGACTTCTCTTGTGAATTTCCAAATGAAAAAAGTAAGAAAACAACAACGACGGATGCTGTTTGATTGTTTTTTTTTTTCTTTTCTTTTTTGAATTTTTTTTTGCTTTGGACCAAAGAATAGAAAAAGTTTTGTGTGAATTTTAACCCCAAATGAATTGCAGATCATCAGATGGAGTCAGTTGGCATCACCTGACTTAAGTTTAAAGCACAAATATAATCTATATAAATATAAATTTGGGATAAACGTTGTGCGGTGTGTGTGATCCGGAGTTTGGAACAGATTAAACATTAAAGGACGAGGTATATACACGCTGTATATAATATAAATAAGAAAAACAGAAGAACACAAGGACACTAAAAACACAAATGTAAGAATATTAAATGTGTGTCAGTGGTATGATGGCTTCCTGCTGTTCTAAACTCATTCCACTGTGAATATTGAACTGACGCTTGCAACTGAAATCACGACATCAGTCATAAAGTGCAAGTAGAGAGCAACAAGTGAAACCTGATTGTTTGAGTCTGAATTCGATGAACCTTGGTTGTGTTTGTGTTGCAGACGCTGCCTCTGGTCAGTCAGTCTCGCAGGCTGGTGAGAGAAGGTCCGGTCACCGAGCTGATGGATTTCTCCCTGAAGGACACCGAGCGAAGTGTTTACCTGCATCTGTTCAACGACTACCTGCTGCTGTCACTACAGAAAGAGTGAGTCGGCGTTCCTGTTCGACCTCCGTCCTTCACCCTCATCCTCTCCATCCTCCTCATTTCTGTTGTTCTCCGTTTGCAGAGGAGGAAGGTTCACTGTCATCGACCACTCTCCTGTATCAGACCTGCGGGCGGAGAACTGCCGAGTCAAGCTCCACTCGCTGCAGAAGAACCTGTTCCGGTTGCACATGACGCACAAAGCTCTGCTGCTCAGGACCGACACACAGTAAGACACCCTGCCGCTGTGTTGTGTTGGTTTCTGTGTCGTAAAGCTGCACGAGATACAACCTTCTCACGTTTTCTTTGCTCCAGGAGTGATAAGCTACGCTGGATATCGGCTCTCTCCAGGCCTCATCCGGAAATAGACTTTTCTGCTGCACAAGGTAAACTTCTTCACTCTGGTGTGGATGCTGTTGTGCTGCTGGTTGAAATATCCACTTATGCTGACTCCAGACAGACTGATGATGACATTATTCATGAGATTAAAGGTGTCCAGCAGCTCACATGTGTTTATATTTATGATAAAACCAAAGAGCAAATGAATGTGCAAATTGTGTTGGTCGGAGAAATCCGGTGCAAAAATGGCTGTTATTAATGATAAAAACAGTATTAAAGCAGAGTCTTCGTTAGCGTCCACAGAATCAGCAGCCAGAGTTCTGCTGCAAAGTTTTCCATACAAAACTGTGTCTGAGTTTGTGCTTAATGCAGCTGCACATCTGGATGAATCAAAACGCTGTGTTTTGGGAGTTTTAGCAAAAACTACAACAGAATAACGAGATGCTGCGGTAACTGAATTTGTGCAGAAAATTTCTCTGACATTTTGAACCCCTTGCGGAGCATTTTAGTCGACTTCATGTCCAATCTTCAGACCATAAGCATGAGAAACATAAACCTCAGTGTGCTTATGAGACCGATGGATTATTCATGCGCCTGAACCGAGACACCAAAGTCTAATAAAATGAAAACCAAGATTTAAAAAGACACATTTCTGACATAAAATGCTTGATTTTCACTCTGAATCTGATGTGAGCTTTTGCACAAGATGCTTTTTGTGCCATAAATGCAACTCGTGGCCCGACATAAAGTTGGTTCTGATTCTGTAGTTCAGGAAAACGCTGAGCTACCTTTTTTTTTTTCCTCCACATTTCAATGATCGTATTAGACGTTTTAAGTGAACCCTAAATGCTGCTTGTAATCTGTATTCTATTTATGAAAAATACAAGATCTCAATGCTTTTTTTATTATCTTGTATCAGGACCACATTAGACCCGATCCAGATCTAAAACCACAAC